TGGACTGTGTGTTTCATGTTAGTGCAAAATATACATGACCGGTGAGTTCAAAGGGGTCTCACATTGTTCCAGACTACCAAAAACCTTATTTTAATGCAGATCTCTCATTTCCTGTCTGCCAGTGACCCGTCTTGATTAGAAAAGACTTAATTATTCCAAAACAAAAGCCTGGTAGAGACACAGAAGGGAGGTTGTGGTGTTGGCTGTTGATATTGTTCTATCAGACAGCTCGAAGGCAGGAAGTCCTCTGTCTGAGCTGCCAGGCCTGGCTTTTTTTGGGGGGAGGGGGGGTCCTGGGGATAAGAGACTGCCCTGTTATCTTTGTGTAAAAGGTCACATAGGTCTGGCGGAAGAAGCAAAAGCAACAACCATCTGTGTTTTCCACACACTGGTGCAGCAGGTATCCAGACCACGGAGAGCCAGGCTGAGTGAACACACACATGCACACAGACAACACATCGCTCACTCCTATCTGTGCATTATGAAAGATGCATTGTCAGAAGAAGTTGGAAAGCCCCCTGATATTTTTTCCTTCTTGTGATGTGTGTGTAGAAGTATGATTGTTTGCACACACTATTCCTCAGAATGACTAGTTCTGATTTATCAGAGGTTTGTGCTGCTATTGTGCAGAATGTTTTTTATTCATGTGACAAACCTTCACACACAAAGGATGATATTTCATTTTGCAGCTCCGACATATCACAAATAAAGATTTGGTTTAGCTCTACAATTCTCTCTAGCTAATGACAGACACATTTGAGCCTCGTATACAGATTCAAATTACAAATTTCTTCTGTTGCATGTTGTTACGTAAGTCAGACAATGTGCTTACACCTACACAGCTAGACTTGCGTGAGACTGTATAAAAGCTCTGCCAAAGACGTGTGTTTCACTAGCAGGAGTATCTGCATCCTCCCAGTCTCCTTTGGCTGAGAAATGTGAAAACACTCACAAAAAGAGTCAATTCTGGCCCTGGGGCTTTTTTTTTCTTCCTGATCCTATTGTTTTCCCTCTAGATCGTTTTGTGCTGTACATAATCAGAATGGTGGCAGTGGATAGCACACACACACACACGCACACTCATATTTGTATAGCACACACCTGCATAAACCCACGTAACTTACATACGCTCAGAGCTGATCCCATGCAGGGAATTCATGTTATATAGCCACATGGGACGCGAATGTTCAAGGCCATTAAAATGATAAACAAAAACATACTGCAGAGATTGAGGAAATATATAATGCATTAAGAACCACACAAACTCACAATAAAAGGCCTCCGTAGTGCTCGTTAATTTGTGACGCCAAAAGCCATCATATAATCTTTTGACTGTGCTATTGTGCTTTATTTGGAGAGGACATAAATGCTTCTTTTTTTATGGGGCTCCTTGAGAATTATATTTCTGACCAGTAAATCATTGTTTTTACAGTGGAGCTTGGAGGATTGTCTCTGCAGCAATAGAGAAAAAGAATAACAAATTCATCTGTTATCAGAGTCTGACCTACTCTCTTGGCTTCGGGCTAATTAACGGCAGTAGGACAGCTATTGTGCCGTAGCCGTGGCCTTCAGAGCCTGGCCTACAGAGCAATAATACTTTGTTTCTGGGTAATGGAGCAGTGCTGCTACTTAATCTTAGAGTAGGCTAGACTTAACACAAACAACACTTTTGGAATTACAAGTTAATGTGACACACCACTCAATCATTATTTGGACAAGCTATGTGTCATTTTTAAAAAGTGCTTACACATGGGGGAAATTCGCATTGTGATGACTACAGCAGTACAACAATAACACAGCTTCAACATTTCTGAATGCAATATAATGTGTCTTTTTTATTCAAATGACAACAATGATACAGGCCAGTTTCATTGATTTGCTGTGGAGCTCTGAGGCCCTGTGGGGAATTAAACCTGTATTTGCTGCTTTTTGATGAAGTGCTGACTTCCATGGTCCACCTGTTTACTGCAAAGCTCTGCTGCGAGTGCATGCAGTCACTGGGGGTGGGTAGGAGGGGTCTCTGGCTTTATTTTGTTGGGAGAGTGGAGTATACACTGCTGACAACAGGGTTTTCTTATTTCACTCAGGTTACACAAAACTATTTTTATGCATAAAGACGCCTGATTTTTTATGGGCAGCAGCAGTTTATGTGGTTCTCGTTGATAATGCATTATCTATCTTGTTGCAGTTTTTTCTCAGAAATAACCAAACTCCATTTATCCTAATACAATCTCTGCACTCTTCAGTTTTCTGACATTTTAATAAAGTCTTTCATCCTGTTATGTACGTATCCTCTGCTCTGAAGTCCCTTAATCAGAATCTAAAGCTCTCGGCAAATACACGTCTCAGAAGAGCGCCGTGGTCCTTACTGGTTGTGCACAGCTGGGAATCAATAAAACGTGTCAATAATGATTCGATCCATTACAGCAGTAAAACGCTTTGCCATCCAATTACAAAGGTGTTTGGGTCACATTGAAGAGTGAATGACCTAAGCCTGATTGTACTTGATTACCATATAAATCAATACCTGAACTTCATATGCTACAGCCAGTTTGCATAACAACATGATTAAGTGCCATTTTTTTCCCTGAGAAATGAATTCTGTAGCGAAGCTGCCACTGACACATTAAAGAACATACTGTGCATAATGGGGCAAAATGTGCTTTCCAGTAATCAGCTGCATTACTGTGTGATGTCACATAGCTGTAGTCTCAGAGGGGAATAAAAGCATCAGCACATCCATTCAGTCCAGTGTGCAGTCGCTGGCAAAGCAGGTGTTATGGATTGTCTCAGTTATGGGAACAAGTTGCTGACCCCTTTCCCTGATCCCTTTCCTGTTTGGCGTTGTAGTGCAGGCGAGGTGAGGGGAGATAGAGTCGGTTTGTTCCCTGCTACTGTGGCATGTTTTTCCTAATATCTCCATTCCCCTTCTCTCTTCCAGTCAAGTCATGTTCCAGGTGGGGTGACAGAGCACAGCACGCAGCTACAGGCGGTCCAGGAAATTTGTGTCCTCCGTCCAAAAACATGTTTTGACCGTCTGTGCCACATCTGGGGGGATATTTACTCCTAAAGCCATTCTTTTCTGCAGCCACATGACACAATACTCTTGACAGGTTCTATTTGCACACCCTGCAAAAGCAAAACATATTTTGCACAAATGAAAAAAAAAGGTCATATGTGGCAATTGTGAGCAGAATACTCAGGAGAGAGGAGATTTGGCACTGCCAATAGACCAGAGTGGAGCTATCTTTAGTCATCCAATTCAAAAACAAAAGATTACTTTATGGCAGCTATAAATGTGCTACTACTGACACATTAAAAATTGTCTTGGCTTCAACACTCCATAATGGTTATTACAGTATCACATTGTAACAAGGGGAAGCAAAACAACTGAGTCACAGTGATTTAATTGTTTTGTTGGTGCTGTAGCGTATTGCAAAATACATTACTCAGCACCCTATTGACACAAATAAACAGCTTAATTACTGCAGCAAACACAGTGGGTCGCATCTTCAACAGAAATTATTTCACATTTAATACCCTCTTTAGTGACTTGCTTAATAATTTAGAAATTGTATCATTACACACATCAACAGATTTATTGTTGAATGAGATAACCCTCATGCAAGTGCAAAGAAAACATGAGCTGATTATGACACAACCACTCTCTAACCACCTCTTTGAGTCTGATAGAGCTTTGCACCTGCAGCAGAGCTTAATCCTTCCTGCACCAAACCATCTGGAATGGGACTTTTGCTGTGTGTATAATGTATGGGTCTGTATGCCACTGCAGCAGTCACGACCGGAGCCCTGCAGCGATACAGCTCTGCTAATTCTTTTATTGTTCTTCGCTACTCTATCACTATCTACTTCAACTCTGCTGTAAGAATCCCAGAAGTATACCACATTGTTTGACCTTCAATGCGTGGGCGTTAAACCAGCATTGGGAGCTGTCAAATCAAAGACCCCAAGTGGGCGACAATCCCAGTCTCCCCCTGTGTTGCACAAGGTGCCTCTGTCCTTGAAAACCCATCATGAGTCCCACACTGAAGCTGGTCAAAGTTTGTCTGCTCCTCGAGCCATCAGGCTTTGCACAGCACCAGTCAATCAGCTCTGTTAGAGGTTACCTAAGGGGTTAACATCGCCAACCTTTCCCATCTGTTGCTAAGGAAGCGTTGCCTGTTGTGCAGGAAACAGGGAGAGCAGTTTCCTGTTATGAAGAGAGGTTTTTAAAGGGTTGCATTCATTCAATCATACAACAGATGCCGGGCCAGGAAGCCCGGCCAATAGCAAAAGCTTTGGTGTCCTAGCGAAACTGTATTTGGAAACTGCTTTTAGGAACCTTTCTATGCACTGGTCTGGTTCAGGAAGTATTCCATGAGCAAAACATGCTGGAGAAAACACTGAGAACAATCTATGCTTGATTTTCTGAAAATCTGATACATACTGTCTAATCATCTATAGATACACGTTCCAGTCATTCCAAGCATGAAAAGTATGTCATGACATATTTGAGTATCTCATGTAACAGTAAAGTAAGTAAGTAACTTTAAACTGGTGTCAGCTATGTATCAGTCAAGGGACATGTGCCATGCACCAAAACATGTGCAGATGTGATTTGAAAAAACTATTCTTTGTACATAAACAGTAGCTGCAGATTTAAAGCTCTCCATCTGCACAATGAAACATTGGAGATAACTGTGGCTTAAATTTATAGTCTAAATCACTCATATTAAGTGGATTTGATCTTATTCAACTCAAGTCTAGCCTGCTGCCTCTAGAATATGGCCCCGTTTCACACATCTGTGGAGCAGTGTCCTGAAACAAAACATGACCAGATGTGAATATAATTGCCCACTGATGTTCTATGTGAAACAATCTCCGCAGTGGCTGAGATATAATGATGTGCATTGGAAAAATGAAACATGTAGGGAGTGGGTTTGGTTGTGCTGTAGTCCTGCCTCAGGAAGCGCCAAAGCAACACCTCCCGTTTCCACACAAGAGCGCATCAGTTTACTGTAGCATCAGCACTGGAGATGTACGCCGGGTGGGAGCTCAGCTGCGACTCTGCGATCACAGGCTTCTTCCACAAGTAGGCTCTCACTGGAGGAAAAAAAATAACAACACAAGATGCTCTGCAAGTCTTCCTTTACCTCCTAATTTTCCCGCAATGTGTTTGTATTTGGACTAAGTTTCCACGTCATTTCGAGGGACACGGTCGGTGTGGGGAAACATGAGGATAAGTGTCGCTGCCCGTGGATGATGATGTCCCACAATGAATGCAGGTGGGTTGTTTATGTTTCTGTTCGTGTCAAGAGTCCAGAAACCAAACTTTAAATGTTTTACAGTTTACAAAGTGGTGCGCAGCAGCGTGAGTGTGTGTGTTTATTTGTGTGTTGGAAGAAAGTCTTTGTGTTCATTTTCATTTTACAACCTTGAGTTGTAAATGACAATAACCTTGAATCATATAATTAATTAATGAAACCGATTAATTATGTCGGAAAATATATTTCACCTGTTTATTTGCACATACTTTACATACAAATTGATATCCAATGCAACTGGATGCAGACTGCTGTAGTGATTGAAATCAGTTATTCCATAGTTTAAATGAAATATCAACAGAGCTATAGATTAATTATACAGCTACTGAAATTTTCAAAGAAATTATAGTTTTCCAGTTAAAAAGATTATTTGGATGAATTCTGTATAATTTGGAAATTTGGAGTGAGTTTAAATCCATACCTATGGATAAAGTTGCTTTCAGTGGAAACCTGTCCTGGGATAAATGTTATGTTCTGGGATTGGTTATATGGTTAGATTACAACATTATAATCCATGTCTGTGAAAGTAGACAGAGGCACTGTTCTAGGCTATACAGAAGGTCACCTGTCTTGCAAGTGCAGTGTCCTGTGAATTTAGTAAGGGAAAGAAGTTCACGTGTATGTGATTTCTGTACATCTGTCAAAGAAAATCTTAACTTCTGTGTTCTACAGCCTTGTCACTTTGGAGTTTAGACAGTTTGCTAAAGCTTGGCAGGTGACATTTCATGATGAGGACACAGTCTGAAATCATATCCTGCGAGTTTGGCACAGCCAAGGTCCCAGTGTCTATCTCTTCCTTTGTTTTTCAAACATTTGTTGTAATTGAATTCTTGTTGCATAATTCATATCCTGTTGTTTGCAGTTGGGTGCTTTGTCAGACTGGGACCCCTTGTTTTCTCCACCAGTTTTATTGTTCTTTGACGCACTCAAAGGACCTTTTTTTCAGCAAAAAAAAAAGAGTGTTTGCCTGTATGTGTAGGGTTGTGTGTGTTTCTTTGTGGGGCAGTGTGAGTATGTTTCGTGAGAATCTGGGAAGAATGACGAGAAGGAAGTCCATTTGTGTTGTGAAAATCTGTACTCCTAGAGGTTCATGGAGGAGTGATGGGGGGCCTTGCTGTTAATGTCCTTCCCCCCATGGACATCCTGTGTGGAGCCCTTTAAGGAGGCTCTGCTGGAGTAGCTAATGAACCTGAAATTCTTAAAAGAAGGAGTGTGGTCACATTGAGAGAGAGAAAATATGTAGGGGGAAGAAAGTGATGTGTGACAATGAGAGGCTTTTTTTCTTTTGTTTTGTTTTAAAAAAATAAATCATATTACACTGATGTCTAGAGAATGAGAGAGAGACACTGACAGAGAGATAGAGAGAGAGAAAACACTCAGATAGCCAGAGTGCACACAGGGTTTAATAGGATGTGCGTCAGGGCAGGTACTAAATAACAGGAAGAGACAAGGGGTGTACACACTTTGTTAAGTACGGGTGTGTTTCATGACAATTCGAAATTTCGTTAGCAGTGCTATTTAATGACTTCACAATTTTTAACACTTAACAAAACATCATGATTACATATTAAATCTGCGTAATCACCCTTTATGTTGCCGTATCAATAGAGACAAATAATTTTTTGGAGTGATACAATTATCGTTAAAGTTTTTTATTATAATTAGCCAACCGTTTGTTAAATCTGATTCTGCTATAAGCGTCCAACATGCATGTGTCATTTCCCAGACAGAGAGATGTTATTGTTCCTCCTCTAAGTACCCTGTGGCTCTGTTGTTTTTCCTGCTGATAATGTCCCCTGCAGCATTCTGCATGTCACTGACTATTGTACAGGATTTGACTTCCTCTTAGCATTCTACACCAAAACAGGACCCACATATGTATCCTTGTATAAACGTAGATATTAGGTAAAGCAATAAAAACAACCCAAGAAATGAAAATATTAAGTGGCTTTTACATTTTTTTTATTAACTTTTACTCTCTTTGTACAGATTTTCAAAATCAACTGCAAGTCCCTCGACCAAAGGTCCGCAGTCATCTGACCATCAAAGTGCAGTCCAAACTGATGTCCAGGCCGTGTCCCCCTGTCCATGGTCCAAAACCTCCTGTCGCCCCCAAGCCCAGACCCCTGTATAAGCTTCACACATACAAGGAACCCTGCCCCCCACAGAGCCTGTGTAACGGAGACGTGGCTCACTCTGATGGGGAGACGGAAGATCTCCATGAAATGGCTGAGGAGAATCAGGACAAAGAGGAGAAAAGTGAGGCAGAGGATGGGGTTAATGACAATGGCATAGGACAAAATGACAAAGAGGACCTAGTAGAAGGAGAAAATGAGAAGGAAATAGAAAAAGAAATAGATATATTAGATAATGACGATGACAGCATTGGCTCTGAGGATACAGTCAAAGCGGATGATGGTTTGACTGTTGACACTACTGAGGATGAAAACACTGACAATGACTTGAACCAGCCTGAAGGTGGCAATCACACTGATGATGAGAATACATCCACACCCTCACCTCCTCCTGCTGAAATTGAACATGAAACAAGAGAGGAGGAACAGAGCTGTTGTGGCTCAACAGGACACTCAGATGAACATGTAGAGGAAGAAAACCTTGATCAAACGCAGTCACTCAGTCAGGGTGATAAGGACAATGATGTTGGACTTAATGAAGTGGACAGTGGACAAAATGAGGACTGTGTGCAACGTCCAGAAGAGACGGAGCTGGAAGCTGGAGGATTTGCATTTGGTTTCAGCGTGCTTCCAACTGTAACTGAAGAGTATCTTTATGATGTGATTGGCCCCAACGATGATGCTAGTGACACATGTGAGTCATGTGACCCAGCTGAAACAGGGGATGCAGAGGTGTGGCAACCAGAACGGGCCACCAAGGACCTCTCTGGCTGTTTTCGATTCACATCCAGCACTGAGGATGTATTTGGGCCATATTCGGTCATAGGAGCTGTTCCGGGAGATATGGTGGACACTGCTGACCCAGAGTGGGGTCAGGATGATACTGATGACAAATCTTTACATGAAATCCAAGCGCCAGGTGCTTCCAACCAGGAACCTTACTATGTGTCATCAGATGACGTGGACAAGCTAGAGGATAAGCAAGTCCTCTCAGAACAGGGTGAGATCGAGGAGGTCACTGAACAGTCAAATCAGCACAAAGATAAAGCAAAGGACATTGAGTCAGCAGATGAGTATGCAGACATTGACGATTCACTCTGCATTAAAGCAGATGACTGCGAGCAGTGTGTCTCATCTGAGGATTATGTTGAGATAGGCGATGAGGACGAAGAGGAGGAAACAGAAAAGAAACACATCAAAGGAAAAAGTGCAAAAGAGAGAACAGCTAAACGAGAGCAGGCTTTCCTCAGCCAGCGAGCAAGTTGCCAGCCTCGCCTCAGGTTGTGCAACATCACAGTGCCAACAGACCTAGATCTGGGCCGCACCCCAGAGCTCACCAACAGGGTTGTGTTTGCCCACACCACTGAAGCCTTTGAAGAAGACATTGAGGAACTGGACTGCCATATTGTGCCTTACTATGAAGACACAGACTCGGACAGTGAAGAGCATATATACGAAGAGGCAGGGTTTGACTCAGAAGGGGAGAACTTTGTGACACTTGATCGTAAGACTATTGTCACACGATCGCGCTCTTATTCTGGGAAAGTACCAGGTTATGTTCCAGAAACAGTACCAGAGGAGACAGGGACGGAGTACCAAACTCATGACTACTGCACAGTGGCCTTGGATAAGAACAATGATCCACTTAACCAGTCACACAAGCCTGCGGTCCCATCTACGAAGTCTCGCCGCTTCTTGTTATATTCCCGGTCTGCAGAGGGTCCAGAATTGTCCTTGACCACTCCCACTGAGATTGGCCTGAATCTGAAGGATGACATCAGGATGAAGAGAAAAGATGATACTCTTTCACTCCCATGTGTGATAACTTCTTCTGGAAGCTTCTCCCAGCGTAGCCATCAATCATCCAGTGGTGTTTCCACACCAACCTCTCTAGTGGACATCCCACCACCCTTTGAACTGGCATACATTACTAAAAGACCAGTCACCAAGAGTTCCCCATCCCTCCTGATCCAGCATGAACCCAATGACATACCTAAGAAGAAGAAGTCATCCTTCAAGCGCTTTCTGGCACTTAAGTTTAAGAGGAAGGCTGATTCGAAGGGCTTCAGTGATGGAAGTGTGCGCTCTTCACGTTCTTCGTCTGAGTCCAGCCACCACGGCCCAGTAAGAGTCATAGAACTTGATCGCAGAAGCACCGGCAGCTCTCCTCAGCTTCAGTCTCGAATGGTGAATCCCCAGCAGCGTCCTTTAGACCTGCCATCCAGCTTTGTCCTTTACAAAGACCACCAGCGGAAAGCTTATGGGAGGGGAGTCTCCAGAGTGGAATCCTTCGAAGAGCGTTCCCGGCGCTCCGTTATGCCGCTACCATTGACCAAACCCCGCTCCATCTCCTTCCCCAGTGCGGATACTTCAGACTATGAAAACATCCCAGCCATGAGCTCAGACTATGAGAACATCCAGATTCCAGGCAGACCCACCAGATCCCACACTGTGACTGAGTTTTTTGAGGACCCAAACCGCACTACAGTTCCCTGCAATGAGAATGATGGCTATGTGGATATGAACAGTTTCCCTGGGATTGACAGCAAACCCCAGACATTGAAAGCAGACACTGAAAGGTAATGTAAAAGCTCAATAAATTTAAAATGGTTTTGTATTATGTCAAGCAAATCTCACAGGGTTGATTCACCCAAGTTACAAAAAACATATCTTACCTATCTAGCCATACAATACTTTTACAATACTAGATTTTGAGATTCCTTTCTCTGAAATTTCCGATGCAATCTTACCTAGGCAGACCCAAAAGATCTTTTTAGGTCATATAATACATAATAAGCCTAAAATGTGTTTATATTTATGATCACATATGGTTTTTCAGCTACTCTTCATATACATGCCTGTATTAAACTCTAGAAACCAAACATGTCCTGTATGTTCACTTGGTATACAACAGGTGAGAGTGTTTATCCCGTGAACCACTCTTAAGGTAGTCAGCTCAGTCGTTAGGCCTGGACCTATCTGCTCAGAAGGGCAAGCTTGACCCCTGAACAGCTGACAAATATTCTTACACTGTATCTCAGATGAGCAGAGGGCACATGGCTGAGTAGAATCGGATCTCCCTCTTGTAGGGAAGTGTTCATTGAGAGATGAGCAGCCTGCTGTGTCAAGCATCACTGGCTTTGGGAAGATGGACAATGCTTGTGGGAGAGCTTACTCCTGTTTTTCATTTGGTGGATTTAGAGGTCACATCTGGTGCCGCTGCTTCCTCTGCAAATCTGAGGTGATAGAACAGGTAATGGCAATTGGGTAGCTCACTGAGCGCAGGTTATTCACATTAGAGAAAGTCATTATGGGCTGCAATTAAAAGTGGAAAAAGTGTGGGGGAGTTCCGTTCACACAAGGAAGTTGAGAAAGATGAGGGAAAAGGTGAGAGAGGGGGAAGGGATGTGTTAATAGAAGGTGTAGAAGAGTAAAAAAACAAAGAGTATAGCGATAAAGTAATAAAGGAGGGGGAGGGGGGAGTAAGAACAGGAGAATTGGTGCAAAGAGCAGTTCTGGTGTAATTGCTCTCCTGTACCTGACACTTATGGTTAAGTTTAGGAGAGCTTTTATTAAAGTAGCTCTCTCCCGAGTGCTTCTCTTTCATTGGACCCTTGAGGGGCCACAGGATTTACTGCAGTGTGTGATAGAGTGAGGAATCACCGTGGTCAGACTGTACCAAATTACCCCGGCCTGTGCCACAGTTTTATCCACTGCGGGCCACAGTCTCTCCTCAGTCTTAATAAAATAGTTGTGTTTGATGACCTGTGTTTAGTCAAAGAGACAGGCCATTACCAAAAGCTTTTTAAAAGGATCAAAGTCTTAGGGCAAAATGTTTCTGCCTCAATTTGTTTTTATTTCTTGTGTGCCCTTTGTTTTATAATTCATGTGCAGCTAGCTGTTGCTTATTTTACCATTTTGTCTTTTATCTTTTATAATTTTTCTCTATGTAGAAACGAGGTCAGTTCGCAGTTCATATCGTTTATGCAACTTTTCACAGACATAAAGTTTATAGTTACCTCTCCACCATACATTCTGTGCAGCACTATACCATGATTTCCCCTCTGTTTATTTCCAGTGTACTTTAAACTCTACACGTATTTCAACATTTGAAACCCATCCATTTCCCAGACAATGGTCCCTCAGTGAGGGCTCTTTTTCTCTCAGTGATGTTATCGATGTAACTCATTGTGTGGTTGAGGTCTCACCCCACTCACAATGATGCAAATTACCTATCTGTCCTGTCACCTCGCCCTCGCCACATTCCCCCTGGAGATGCTTCTGTTACCAGGGACACTGTTTTGTGTGTCTATACAGGGCTGGTTTATGTTTATTTGAGTGTGTATGAGTGTACGTGTGTGCCCACAATATAAGTCATTGTAGGTGTTTGTCCCTGCCTTTGTGTGTACATCTACACTAAACTCTGTTCAAAGCTTGACATTGCCGCTGTCCCAGGCTGCCTATCTGATGATGGCAGTGATTTATTGAGAACACATTCAACATTCAACATGGTTTTTAGACCCACAGAGGAAAACGTGGATATTTGTGGTGAGGAAAATGACCAAATGGCCCCAGAGCACTGCACACAAAAGGACTGTGCCTACAGTAGCAGACATGCATTTTAAGGAGAACACTCAAAGCTGCTGTGCCACAGGCTTGGCTTGTTTCCACTTGTGTGATTAATGTATAGCACCATTCACACACTACTTCAGCACAAGCATTCAGACTAAGCAAAGAGACATGTTCATTAGCAAGCTACCATAATGTACAATAGGAAAAGAAAAGGCACACTAATGATTCATCCCAAACCTAACCAAGGTGTTTGCTTGTATGTGTGTCTGTGTGTGTGTGTGTTTGTGTACATGTGTGCATGTGCAATTCAGGGCTGCTTTATCAAAGATGAGGCTCCTGCTGAGAATGCAGTCTCAGCAGGATTGTTCTTGCCAAGTAGCCGTGTAGCAACAAATTTGTTGAAAAAGGTGTTTTAGCAAAAAGCCCAGGATTTGTGATTGTGCTCAACTTAGAGCCCATTAAGTGTTCTTTATGTCAAGTTTAAGCAGTTCTAGGTAGACGCACAACAGTAATGCAGATGTGTTGTTGTCCCCATGCACACAGTAAACAGAGCTATAGTGGTATGTTTAGTGAGATCCTGCTAATGTCTGCAAAATAGCACATCTCTTGCTTACCCTTTGGCGTCATTTTCACTTCAAACAGTTCAACATGAACCTCTTCAGAGTGATGACAAAGCCCTGCCATGGCCTCTAAAACAGCTCCTCCACCCAATGTTATGTTAGTGTTAGTAGTGATGAGGGAGCCATCTTAAGTACATTGTTGTACTGGGTGGTGGCTGTGTGCTGTGTGGCGAGGTGGTGGACAGGGTGTGTCGTTGGCTCGCCAGGTCTGGTGCCAGGCGCTCTGAGGTCATTGCCAGGTCATCCCCGGGGAGGAAGCGTCCAGCCTAGGAGCTTCCCACTGGCCTGTTTACAGGAAATGCAGGGACGAGGGTGGGGCTCTGGCTGGAGGCATGGAGGTGGAGACAGGAGAGGACAGATAGGATGACGGAAGGGAGATGGGGGTCACCCTGGTGGGGTGGAGGTTCCCAGACTCTCCCTTGAACAACAAGATGAGGTGTGGTCCAGTCAGGAATGCCAGGTCTGCTGTTATTGTTGCTCCAGTTTGTCAGGAATGCCTCAAGCCTCCCACTTCTTATACTCCAAAGCACTCTTGTGGTGCAGAGGATAAATCAACTGAAAACAAGTGAGCAGAGGTTACAAAACTGTTGCATATGTGGGCCTGAAACACAGCATGATGTAGGGTTGACATTATCCAAAGCCATCTTCCTTCACTACACAGGTGAGGAGCAGCAGTCGAAGCGCCAGCGTCTTCACAAATCACTTCATCACACGCTGTCACAACAGCAGCAGCAAAACAGCCACAGGCTACATGTAATCATCATCACTAAAAGCAGCAAACAATTTAAAACTGCTCCCATTAATCCCCCCATCAGTATCCCAATCTTCTGTAGTTAGCAGGCTAATGAACCTATTCAGCTGCTCCTATTTCCTTGTGCCATTACAAGTGAAGAAGGGCCTGTCGGATTGCACCTAATATATATTTTAATACTCAAAGTTTAGCTCAATTGAATTACATATTACAGGCACCATCAAATTCACAGGAGATTGGTGGCATACAGGTTTCACAGAGAGTCATTGTGTCCTCGTGTGAATTTGACACAGAAGATTTAACTTTGCCGTGTTATAAAAAACATTGCGTTCAGCTGGCATAATAGCATTGCCTTAATGGTGTTGTTAAAGGGCTTCCCGTATTACCATATTACAATATCACATATTTGCAGGTTTAAATATAGAAACATCATATGGAGGTGACTGGAGCTAGCTTTCTGTCCAAGAAAAAGGAGATGTAATTTAAAGAAGAAATTATTACAATTTAATAGTTGTTGTTTTTTTAGTTTTCAGTTTCTGGACTTTTCAGCGATACATTATTATAAATTGGACACAACCCTCCATTACAGCACAGAAGGTGTGTTTTCAGAGATTGTGCTGTTAATGGTTGAGGGTGAAAAGGTGAAGGTGAGAATCTGCGGTGCGTTTCTCTTGGGCATATAAAAGAATCCCCCTCACTCGTAGAATTAATCGGAGCTTAAGAATGAGTTCAAAGAAGACCCATCTCTCGTGTTCCCTTTCCTTCCCAACATCACCCAGGAGCCCACACCAGGCTGACCTGTCTACTCTGAGGTCAACTATGAGTAATGGCCCGTAGGTGCTTTCTTCAGCCCACCCAATAGAGCTGATGTGTGTATGTGTGTGTGTGGTTTAGTGTGAACCTCATGAAGTATGAGTATGTCTGAATGGAGATGAAGTCCAGCGGGTAACTCTGTTAACCTTTGGTCTTCTAATAGCTGTCTACTCTCTGCACACACAGGGCTGTTCAAGACATCAGGGCAAACCTTCATTATTATCTGTAAAATGCCAGAAGAAAAGTATTGATTGTCTTATTGGCGAACAGGCCAAAACGAAATAATTAGTTATAAGATAATTAGTTTACTACCACTACTATCAGATTCTCACAATTGATGCTTGAAAAAGGACTTAATGAGTTAATGATCAGTCGATCATCAAAATAGTTGCAGATTACTTTTTCTTATCAACTAAACAATGAATAAACTAATCTTACTACTTACTACATTACTGATGCACTTTTGTTGTTGTTTTTTTATTTATTTAATTAAATTAAACATGTTTTCACAGCAATAATCAAGGTTAAAATCTGTGTTTGTTTTTTGTTTTTATCAAATGCAACAGTCTTTCAGAATAAAAGAGACTTAAACCATTTTGCACGGATGAGATTCAGTTTCAACAGTTTCACTAAAGGAAGACTCAAATAACCAGAATGCAAAGCAGCTCCTGGAGATATTTCACTTGAAGTAAGCAGTGCAGACATTAATCATAA